TTATACTCGTTAAAAAAAAGAAAGAAACTAGAAATTTGACTCCCATACACAAAAATCTGGGTATTAAATCTCAAAATTTGTAATTTTTTATGTCATTTTCAACTTGCCTTGAGAAATCAGTTAATTAAGTTAGAATAATTCGAGCGAATTAGTATAAATGAAATACAGCAAAAAATATGTATAATTTAATAGGTCGTATAAGGAAGTCATATAATGTTCACATCAGATATTTTTCATAAATGTTAATGCTTTAAATTTTTAGAAAAAAGAAGATTGCCTACTTAAACTTTAGATATCTTCTTCAAGTAAGCCACCAATATGTTGTGTAGCAATTTAGTCAATTGTAAAAACAATAGAGTTAAAGTGATTCATAATGCGAATTTATATTAAAATTGTTTCTCTTCTTTTTACTAATGTCAAAGCTTAAAGTTTTTGAAAATGCAATACTTCAGCACTGAAGTTGCAACACTATAACGTAATTTACCACTTTAATAAATAAGTACGTGTGAATTACTTTATCATCTTAATTTTAATAAACAACTCACTGTACATATTTTTCATAAAACCAGATTTGTTAGAAATGAAAATTTAAAGAATTTAACGTTAATTTAAAATAATAAAAGGTGGCTATTGTTATTTTCAGTATAAAATAGTAAATTACACCTAGTATGAAATGCAAGAATACATTGTGAAGTTACAGGCTGAGTACCACTATTTATTCCACCACTAAGTGGCATTTTCGCACTGCTGTTTATGCAGTGCATTATGAAATTTTACCTGCTTGAAGTTTTTCAGTAATTATGCAACAGATGAATCTGAAATGGAACAATTAACGAACAAAAGATTCTCGTTAGATTAAAATCGTAAGGTTTCTTTCAGATAATAAATATAATTATCAACATACTTTGCATTTATGGGTATATATTGTTTTCTTTTAGCAGTATGGATTTTTCAATACTAATTTAAGATGCATCGTAAGGAAAAGATTATTTTTCTCTAGTATGCGTTTGATTAAACACATGACATGCAACGCACACTTCTAAAAGTGAAAAAGTTTCTTTAGAAAATTAGCTGTAAAGTTTTGGCAGATGTTTTTTACTCTGAGTGACAGAGTTTGTGCTAAGCATGCATACTTCTACCAGTTATTTCCAGCTTTGGAATTCTATAAATCTGTCGGGAAAGATATGAGCATTTTGGCTGTCTTTAATTGCTCTGCTCGACTAGTGACAAGCAGTGATATTTGCATCTTTGAGAAATTTAAAAGCTTCTGGTACGGATATTATCCACTGTCAGATGAATTCAATAATACTATATGAAAGGAAACTTATTAATGTTTAAATAACTAAAGTAAAAAAAAAAAAAAAAAAGCACTTTAAATCCAGGAAATAAATAATACAAATCAGAATTAATTATGCATAAAATGTGATTGAATTTCCATTCATACATATGAAAAGTGATCTTCCAAAAATAGTACGATGGGCAACGGAAAATTCATTCCAAACAGTATCTTATAATCGCAACGTTAAAGATAGGGAATTCTCTGAAGGTGACCATTCCTTAAAAGTAATTAGTACTTCTGAGTATCTGTATAATTAAATAATGAAGAATTTGTTTATATAGTGTTTATTCCAAGCATTGAGGAAAATCGACGCCATCTAGAACCACCGAATTTTGAACAAACATAGCCCTCAATCTAGACATGTGTGCCCGAATTTTGAATTTCAAATTTACTTTTTTTTATTTGTTTGATCTTTTATGTGAATTTGATGAAATTCTGGCTAAAAATTCAACTGTTTAAGACTAATGCATTGCCACTTGGTAAAGCATAAAATATTTGTATTTCAAGTATAATCAACAAACTCAGTGATCTTAAAGAAATGCATTGCCACTGCCTGAAATAAAACACTTTTATTTTCCACTCACCATTTTGTTGCTATTCGGACAAATCTTAAAATATTTAATTTTGTTTTTCAAATTTATCTGTTTGTTACTGATTAACAAATCAAGCGATTTAAAAGTAAAAGGTGTTTTAGGCGCTGGCTGCGCAAGCGGCTAGTATAATTAAATAACAGTACTGAACATCATAGATAGTCATATGTTTCAAAACAACCACTTGTGAAGAAGGCTGGTGAGTAACTTCGACACTTCCATTAATCTAGTACCTCTTTCACCGATCTCCCCAATCATTGAAAAGGAACTGGATTATTCACACATAGCACAAAAACATCCTTGTAATATCCTGAGGATGTTGCTCGCGGGATATGCTCACATCCTCAGGACATCCCGGAATATCCCTCTAACCTCCTAAACACCTTCTCCGGAGTGCTTAATGTCACATTCCAGTATATCCTCAGGACATCCTAACTAAGTCCCATCGACAGCGTACGGGATCTTATTACGATATGAGCTCCTACTTACTACATCCTCAGGACATCCCGTAATATCCCAGTTTCCTAATAAACTCATCCTCCTGAGTCCTTAATGTCACATCCCGGTATATCCTTAGGACATCCTATCTAGGTTCCAGCGACAGCGTATGGGATGTCATCAGAATTTGAAATACTAGTTACAATATCCCTTTAACCTCTTAAATACATAATCTCAACTGCTTTATGTTACATCCCAGTATATGAAAGTATGTAAAGGTGTTGTGATGATCTAAAACCTACTTACACAGATACTCAAACTTTACACAGATAATCTCAAATCCTTCTCCTATGGTTAGTATGGAAAAAGTCAGAAATGTTCGGAATATTTATACAGCTTATTTTGTTTTTAAATCTGAATTTGTGAATATATTAAAACTGAGCAAGGAACTTAAAATGAATTATTAATACAAAATATTATAACAGAAAATTTTGCTTTTATTTTTAAGATATTAAAAATCTTTCGATCATTTTTAAACATCCAATAGCCCCAAATTGAAGTATTCGTAATTAAATTATTTTACAAAATCAGTTTCTAATTTCAGTTAATTTGTATTAAGATTTCAATAATAAAATTAGCCATTTAATAATCTTTACAGATTAAATGAATCATCTTTCTTTAAAACATGTAAAGAATTTTTAGTGTTTTGATGAGCCTGTTGGGAAATTGTTAAAAGGAATAATTTGTATTTTTAAAACTAAATCAGTTCCTAGCTACAGAATAAATAAATCTGTTTTCGTAACATGAAAATGCTGCAGGCTTTTTTATATATTTAATATTTAGTTGTGGAGTTTAGAAGTGCTGGAGCATTGGATACCAAATTATTGGTCTTTTATTCTACATACTATTTTGTATTGCGGCAAGAGATCGTCTGAAATTAATTTTATGTTTTTACTATACGTAGTAATAAACTTCTGTGAGGAGCCTTCTCTTTTCTTAATTTCCAGCATTACTGGCTTAGAATGTCATTCCTGAAAATCCGTATAAGCAAAAAATCCATAGTGAAATGAATACTTATATTACCTTCTTTCGATGTATGAATACTTTAGGAATTTACCTTAGAATTACATTAGGAAAATTTTTAATCATATTTTTCAATACTAACAGAGTTGGTTTAAGTTTAATATTCCGAAACTATATTATATTAGCCCATTTATGTAATATCTTCATTTTAGGGAAAAGATTAAACTTGGTAACTTATATCTTCAGTAATTATCAAAGATTGAATCTTTAAAATATAATATCAGTTTAATCTTTGTGTGAAGCAGCTGTCATTTTTCGCATTTTTCATAAAACTTGTTTGTATTTGAAAAGAGGGCGTTATAATTACAGATTCAGAAAATATAAATTAAATAAATTATTAATTAATTAAAGAAAATATAAATTGTAAAAATCTTTTTCAATTGTCAATTTTCTTTTATAAATACTAAATTAACTGTTATTGATAAACTTGAAATTTTCAGACCAACTTTTATATTTGTTTCTCAAAATTGTTTGTGCAGGAAAAATAGTTGTAAGATGAAACAATTTATATTATCCTTCCCATTAACTGGCAACAACAAGCAATAAATTGAAGACAAGATTCAACAATCAGTTTATTTAGGCTCCAGATTTAGCAGTAACAGTGAAGATATTTGGAAACGATAATAAAATTTTCTAAAAATTTCTCACAACAGAGCCATATTTTATGAATTGATGTTCATAAAATTAAACTTCACAAAATGTTTTATACATTTACATGACTTTCATGTTATCCAATAATATAATAATTTCACATATTAAAAGTTATTACATAAAATGGTACAGTAACAATGACCTATATCAAATAAGAAATAAGCTCACTGAACATTTATCACACACGTTTCAGCTAAACTACTATTTGACTACGAGTTAAAATGCATTTCAATGCTAAACTACTATTTCACTACTAGTCAAAATGCCTGTGTTGTTAAATTTGTAGAAAACTTTAGAGAACTTAAGTGTTGAAAGAAATAAAATCTACGAATTATTACGTAAAGATTAAACACAAAAATGCTTTTAAAATTTTCATAACAAACAAAGACAATTTAAAAAATTACAAATCAGAGTTTTGATTATGTGAATAATTAACTAAGTATTTCTATAAAAAATCTACTAAGCATAGTATTCAAAACATTCATTTCTTTATAATAACTGTATGTTCAAAAATTATGACATTCCGATATTACGGCTTAGTAAATAAAAACTTAGCTTATTTACCATTTCATGGACAATGAAAGCAGAGCCGTAAGAAATGTTAAGCAGCTTAAATTTTTGTCAAAATGGATTAAACTTTGAAATAAAAAGTTCTTTCTAATGAAGTTTCTCTTACCCCATGTTTCATTTCAAGGAAACAATACAACAACAAACAAATACGATTTTAAAGAAATATTTGGATAAAAGAATATTTGCTATAATTGAAGAAATATTATTTAAACTTTTAACCCCAGTTATAAACTTTGTTTAAATTTAAAAAAGTTTTAAAATTTATTTTAGATTATTTTTTTTATTTAAGACGCATTGTATAATCAAAATCTAAAAAGTAAAAACTCATTCATTAAAATTTTATAAACTATAACTAATGATGGAAAAATAATTTGAAAAACGCTAAACAGCAAAATAAAAATATTTCTCTGCCTCTATTGTGTATAAGTTGCAAATATTTTTGTAAAATAAATTCCGAAGAATTATACTTTCAAGAAATCTCTGCAAAGATCTTCAAACGGATTTACAAAAATTGTTTCATTGAAATATGTTACAAAAGAAATTCTCATATGAGTAAAAAGCAATTTCAAATCCAAAGCAATATGCATTAAGTTTTTTAAACGTCTTCACCACGTAAATGCACCACAGCACAAATACCACAGAACTTGGGTAGAATAAAGAAGAATAAATTACTGTACAACACAGCTATGTCTTTTTTGTTCGATTGCATGTTTCAGTTTAGGGTAAGTTGACAGGACTGGTAAAGATTTTCTTCGTCGTTCGACTGCCGGTCCAAGAGCATAACAGATATGGGCCTGAGTCAACATGGTTTTAAAAATTTGCAGGATATTAATATTTTCCTTTGCTGAAGATTCCACAAAGCCATTCTCCCAATCGATTGTAACAACAGATTCTGTAATGTCCTTTGGCACAGCTCTGTTGCTTTCTAAATCACATTTATTGCCAACGACCACAATTGGAACGTGTTCCTCCGTTTGCCTAATCTCTAGAATAAGTTCTCTGAGACTTGACACGAACCGGAAAGACTCCTTATTGTCTATCGCGTACACCAGGATGAAAGCATCACCGGTTTTGATAGCTAATCTTCTCATGGCAGGAAATTCATAGGATCCACTCGTGTCTAGTATATCTAAAGTTAGAGTAGCGCCTGAGATGTCGTATACACTGCAGTGCATTTCTTCTACGGTTGGAACGTGGTCTACAGGAAACCTGTCATGGAGGAATTGTTCGACGATAGCAGTTTTTCCTACACCAGCAGCACCCATAATTACAACTCTCGGATGATCTGTTTCTTTCAGTGATTTTGTTATATCCGTCGTGTCCATTACAGATTCTGTGCAAACGCTAGGCATTGTGACACAATTATTATCGCATAAAGTAGCGAAACTTAAAACAAATATTCTTCGATTTTTCTCTCCAAGCACAGTGTAAACAGTCAGATATTTTCCTTGGAAAAACTCTTAAAGTTGCTATTAGATTCAGCAGAAGTACTACATTAAGAAGAAATCACATCTGTATTCGAATTTTTGCCGATATTTCAGCTGCATAAATTCTTAAAATTAAAGTAGTTAGTTCAAGATCATCTTTACAAGAGCAGTATTGCTCTAATATTTCAAGCCGACTCTTGCACTGGGATATTTATCTGCAAAACATAAAAACAAAAAGTTATATATAATAAATTGGTGATAAAATAAATCGGTAATTTCAACTGATTTAAGGGTACGTTTAATTTTCATGCTAGCAAAATATGTTAGGTAACATCCTTATGAAAATAAATGCAAATATTTTATACTTTTGCAGCCTATTAAAATGATGCATATAAAGCTCTGAATGAAAAACTGACTCAAACTTCTAGAAGCTCTGAATGAAAAACTGACTCAAACTTCTAACATTTCTACATAAAAAAAAAAAAAAAAAAAAAAAAAAAAAAAAAAAAAAAAAAAAAAAAACATAACCACAATATAGTACCTATAGTACCTGTATTTTACTTTTGTGCACTCCTTACAGTCCTATTATGATATTCTCAAAGCAGCAACTGGTCTTCATGTAGTCCCTGACTTAAATATTTATGAAATTGGCAGTACGAAAGAAATACACGTTCAGTAGAAATCGTAACCCGAATTCTGAATTTTCATTTTCTGCGATCTTACATTTTCCTTTGCAATACATACATGCAACGGCAAGACATATATGTATACGGACACGATATAGCAAAGATATGATGACTGTCCAATGCAAAGGAATTTTGTTTGCAAATTGTAGAATAAAAGCTTAATTAATTACATCATAAATTCCTGAAAGTCAGTAGGATTCCAGATACGTAGTAAATACTCGTACAGCGACACGCTTTTTCCTTCTCTCTGTAAAATCAAATCAACTACATTAAATCTTCAGAATTTCATATGTGTTAGACTTTCTTTTAAACTTTTTTCTTTTTAAAAGATTCGGCTTCTCTATAGAATCGAATAAGCTTACAAAGCATGTATGTAAAGTTTATGTTATGTAAAATTTATGAATGTAAAGTTTATGTTAATTAATTCATTACCTAATTATTTTATTTGTATCGTCGCTTCTAATTTCATCAGCTCCTATCAAGATGCAAATTAGCCACGTTTACATCTGAACAGGGTTCTTGAACAAAAGAGCATTGGCATCGATGCTGATCTTCGTGATATTTCCTCACTCAGTTTTGAGAATTACTTCAGACTGGTGTTAACCTTTTGCTAGCTGAGTTTGCATGCGCTTGTAGAATCCTGAACCAAAGCTTGACAGGAATTTGTTTTGCGAATTCAAGCGTTACATACTTTGATACTTTTATGTTAAATTCAATTTCACAAGTAGCGGATATTGATTTGTATGTATGAGCTGTGCATTTATAAAGTTTTAATAAAAATGTTGTTTGAACCTTCTGAGTTGTTTTGCTAGAGGGTCTACTACAGGGTTTAGTGATAGTCTCAGAAATAAAGTTTAGTTAAGTAAAGTTGCTGGCTTCCTAGATATTTAAAAAAGGCTATGACATTTGGCACATAGGGTTGTAGAGATTACTAGGTTTTCGGCGCAGGAATGCGAAAAAAAAGTTTATTCTTCCGGTTGCTAGCCGAATGTGCTAACCAATTACAGCACACACACACACAAAGAAAGAAAATCTGATGTGTACACCACATGAGTTCCTTGTACGGAATATTAAATTATATCCATTTTTTCCTGCATTTCATTTAAACTTATTTCCTCGAATTTCATTAGAGATGCATTTCTCATTCAATTAATTCAGTTCTCACTTCGCGACAAGGCATAAAAACTCAAAGTATCTGTATTAAAAATTGAAAGATATAAAAATAAATAAATAAATAAATAAATAAATAAAAACACCAAACACAGATAAAACAATTATGATTACTAATTTTTTTTTCTACAATTAAAATTCCAGTTTCTGCGCAAAAACAAGCAATTCGGCCAGCGGGCAAGAAGACAGATTTTTCCGCTCACAGAACTGAAAGTTTACCTTTGTTCCAAAAGTAAACTTTCAAACTCAGTCGGCTTTCAACTCACTTGGCAAAAGGACACTAAAGGCATAAAAACTGATTTAATTTGTTGTGCACGCTATGCTGAGTCAATATATGGGAGAATTTAATAACTTAAATGATAGTTCCAAAATGGACTAAGCATAATTTAATTCGCAATAATAAAAGAAGACGTTACTTTATTATTACAAAGCTTAGTTTCTCTAGATTGGCAACAAATTCATTATTCTGCTAAGTTTCAAATGTAAACAAATATGACAGATATGGTAAAAATATTAGGCCGCACTTAAACCACTTTTAAATTGATGATAATTCTACAACTATAACATGCAGGTAAACTAAAGGCATAAAACCTTAATCGGAAGATAAGAACAGCATAATTCAGTCATTTTTAAAGCAAAAAATGCACAATTTACAAACATGTAAGAATAAAGAAAATGAGCTCACTGAGCCGAGTAATATAGTGGACATATACAAATTTATATACTTTTGATGCGGCCGATTGCAACCAAAAACAGAGTGCATATCTACATGTTATAGCAGTCCCACATACAAAATTCCAACGTTCTGAGGCTATTCGTTTTTGAGTTATGGGAGATACATACATACATATATACGTACGTACAATAATGCCACGATTTGGGGAAAAGAGTCCTTTATTCTGTCCCTACGTACATATATCACGAAAAACATTGTTAAATTGCATTTGATAGCGGTCAAAATGGATATTTTCATTTTAAGTATTAAGTTTGGTATTCGGAATGTTTCTTGATTTACTTCGTACAAGGAAGTAAAAAGTGCACGGGAAATGAGAAACTGCCACCTGGCGAATAATTCTATTTTCTGATTTGATTGATGTCTAATTTTGTTAAAAGGATTTGCAAATAAGTTTTTTTTTTTTTTTTTAGACAGATAATCTTCGAATGCCTTGTTGCAAATTTTCCGAATTAACCTACCAACCATATTTTTGGCCACAAGTTTTATTATTCTAATATATTAAAAATTCTTTGAAATAAACTGTCATTAACATTTAGACTTAAAATTTAATATCAGAAATATATTATTATTTTTATATTTTTTAAAAACTAAAATTCCTTTCAACGAATACTCACAAAAAATTTAAAATCAGTGCTAGTAAAACTAGTGCATCTACAAACATTAGAGAATATTTTTGTCCTTGAAATTTATTAAAATCAAATTCATTTATATTCAGATCTTCTAGGAGATGTTTAAAATTTTATTAAGCGGAAATCTGAATCTGCTATATCTCCGTATTACAAACTTGAACTTCAACATTTATGACAGTTACTGCTAAGTAAGACGCAAGCTTTGGAGTTATCAACGTTTGAACACCGGATACCCATGTCTTCGATGGAGGAAGCAAGCGATCGGAGAGATTTCGAGTTTATTGGATGGATAATCCTAGCAACGAAGCCTGTGCTCGACGACCTTGAAAAGAAAAACTCTGCTGAGGGGTTTTAATTTCCGCAATTCTGCAGCGGTTGGAACATCGGTAACAATTCATAAACGATTTTCGTCTGAATAAATTGCTTGCGGGGAAATAAATATTCTTCTGAAAATGAATATTTTTGCGGTGAATTATTTGTCGTCAAACTGAGATCGAAATACACGTGACTGCAAAAGGTAAGAAAAATCAGATAAGTCCATCACCTGAGAATAATATTAGCTTTTTCAGTTTAATGTATTGGAATTTTTTTTAAGTATTATAAATAAATGCAAACTGAAAGGGCACATTTTGTTTTAGAAATTTTGAATATTTCTGCTGGCAATGAGATATTTTTTAAAAAAAATATTTTGCTTTGTTTATTTATCTTTTTAATAAAAAAAAGTCCACAAAATTTAAATAACACATTATTATTAATCGTATAAAAAGTTTCAAATCTGCTTGCTCACTATCATCTTTATTCAAACAAATATAATTTGCAGCCTTAATTTAATCAGATGTAAAGGTCTTTTTTTTAATCATGTTTTTATTATAAAAGCCATCCTTCTAAATAATTCTTTAATTCATAGTAGAAATCATACCAAGTACTTTTAGTAGATTTTTGGTGTTTATTAAATAGTTGCCGAAATTTTTCCGCACTCAATTTAAATTGTTGCAACAGTAAAGGTTTTATATATTCATACTTTTTCGCGTCCTCTTCTGGTTCTCTAGCAATAAGCTGAACAATGTCAGGAGCTAGCAATGAAATAAATTGAGTCACTTTGTTTTCAGCAGGTATATTCATCATTTTAGCTTGACGCTCAAATATCACTAGAAATAAACTTATTTCATCTTCTTTAGCGTTGAAACTTGGCATGACATCGTGAATTCTTATTTTTAAAGGCTGCTCAGGTAACTGCGTAGTTTCTACCGGTAGTGCTTTTGCAGCCATAGCATCCAATTCAAGTTTCTGTAGCTCAAAAGCTCTAATTCGCTCTTCTCTTTCGCGTTCTTCCTTTTTCTTTCTTCTCTTTTGCTTTCTTTTTCTCTTTCTTCTCTTTCGCGTTCTTCTTTTCTTTTTCTTTCTTCTCTTTCGTGTTCTTTTTCTCTTTCTTCTCTTTCGCGTTCTCTTTCTCATTCTTCCTTTCCTTCTTTTTCTCATTCTTCCTTTCCTTCTCATTCTTCTCTAATTGCAGCCAGTAGTTCTCAAGTAAACTCCTCATCATAACCGGGACTTTCAGTTATCAATTTATTCAGTTATCAATTTATGCAACTGAGTAATTTTAAATTCAGGTCTCACGGTTAAACTTAACTCTTCTGCCAGTTCTTTTAAATCTCACGTCTGGATGGCGAGAACTAAGAAAAGACTTTTGCCAGTTTGGCAGTATAATCAAATCACACTACGTCAGTTTCACGTTACTACTTATTTTCTACGCGCCTGCCTGGCAACAAATTCAAAAACATAGCTAGCAGTTTTTTTTTTTTATAAATGCTGGAATGGCTTACACATATCAACCATCAACATAAAAATTCAATACAAATAAGAAAAAAAAGCCTAAATAAGAATTTTAAAATACTTTTTTACCACAAATATCAAATATAATTTAAGCCTAAAATTTTTAGTATCAGTTATTTTACACAAAAACTTACACTATTTAAATATAATTCTAAAATGAAACACTTAAATTCAATAA